AAGCAGAGGAGTCTGGGCAACCAAACAGGCAAACCGCGTGAGGCATCCCTACAAACTGGGCGCAAACGGGCCCGTGCAAACACCCCTGGCGGCTCCCCTTTTGCGGTGCTGAAATCAGCGCCCCGCTCAAGACATCCTCACAATCTGCTTCGAACGCATGGAAGTCTGGGTCACCAAACAGGCAAACCGCCTGAGACATCCCTACAATCTCCTGGTGGACAGGCCCGTGCAAACATCCTTGGCAGCTCCCCAATGGTGTGCAACAACCAGCACCTCGCTCGAGACATCCTCACAATCTGCGAGTCTGGGTGGTTTCTGAGGATGGGCTTGAGAGTGAGTACGTCTGAGTGCGAGCGTATAGGAGTGTGAGTGGTATGTGCGCCCGCGGATATTATTTGCGTATGCGTCTGAGTATGAGCGTGCCTGGGTATGAGTGAGTCTAGGTATGCGTGAATATGAGCGCGAGTGAGTCTGAGTGTGAGCGAGTCTGAGTATCAGTGAAAGTGAATGTCTGAGAACAGAGGGGACGGAGGCTGGAAGGAGGGAGGAAGAAGGAAGGCGGAGGCGCCACACTAGCAACAAGAACCCCATCTCAGGAGATGGGGATTGAGAAACCAAGGAAGTGTCGAGCGGCAGCGCTGGTTTTGTTGGGAGGGCCGACTTCCAGGGACGAGCAGGAGCGCCAGCCCTGAGCAAAAAGGCACAGTATTCACTCGGAGAGCTGTTACTGTAGGGGGGGCAGTTTGCGGCGCCGAGGCGGGAGCCCTCTTCCTGAATAACGAAAACGGGGAGGTGTCGAGCGGGAATGCTGCTTGCGTTGGAAGGACCGTTGTCGGCGGCGAGTCAGAGTGCACCAGCCCCGAGCGAAAAGCTAGAGGGCCTCGAGCGGGAGCGTTGCTGCTGTTGGGAGGCCGGCTTGGGTGCAGCCCCGCAGCGCCGGAGCGCGAGCCTCGTTCTCGAAGGGCGTGCAGCCGGCGCCGAGGCGAGAGCGCCGGAACGCATTGAGGGGTCTGACGAGCACACGGCAGGTTCGCATTGTGTCGACCCTCGTCGACCCCGCCGCCGGCATTCAAGGCTGATCGCCGCCAGTGGCCCAGAATCGCCCAACATGAAGCGATTGGGCGATCGACGAGCCGCCGATCGGTCAAGGTTGAACGATCCGCGCGGTGGCGGAAACAGCGACGGGGTCGTCACGGCGCGAGCCCGCCGTGCTTGTTCAGCAGCTGATGCTCAACGGCCACTACCACAAGAGCGCCCCGGGTCTGCCCACGAGCTCCCGGGTGCGGCGGCGGCCCCCAGGACGACGCCGACGACGGCGGCGCCGACGGCCTCGGCGGCGGCGGCGGCGGCGACGACGGCGATGGAGACCACGGCCGCGGTGGCGTCGACGGCGGCGGCGGGGGCCGCGACCGCGGCGGCGGCGGGGGAGGGGGCCCAGATATCCAGACGCTCCAAGTTTTTCGATGCGTGGGCCCTGGAGGACTGGACCACTGCCCCAGGGCCAGTTTTTCGTCCGGCGCCGTTCCCTGACGCTCCCGAGGCCCGGCGAGGGCCCCCGGAGGCCGAAAGTGGGCCAGAACCCGCCGCTCCAATTTTTGCTGGAGCGTCGGATCTCCGGTGGGAGCAGCACCGGTGGGGGCCGCGCTGCGGGCCGCCGCGCGCGCAGAGGCGAGGCCGTGGTGGCCGGGGGTGCTGCAGCGCCTGTGCCGCTACGTGGGCCAGCGGTCCGAGGGCGAGGCGTCGCCCGGCGGGTCGGCGAGGGCGGCGCCCGGACGAAGAAGACAGCGCAGAGAGACTCGGGGGCGGCAACGAGGGGGGTGATGACTAGGGGGGGGGGGTATCATGGCGGGGGGCCTGATACCTCCGCAGGTTTCATGGCGCCTCTTCTTGTTTCAATACGTCCCTGCCCCCCCTCCCCGTGGCCGCGCACATGCCGCCGGCCCTGGTTTGCGCCCCCTCCTCTTGGACACCCCCCTCTTGGACACTCCCCTCTTGGCCGCCCCCGGGAGAGGAGGGAGCTCTTGTTGCTAGGAGCAGCTGGCAGCACAAGCATCTGCAGACAGGGATTGGAAGGTCAGGATGCCCGGAGCTCCGAGGTTCCAGGGTTTTTTGTTGGCCAAGTTCGGGTTCCAGGGGCCCTCGCCGGGCCTCGGGAACGTCAAGAAACCACTCGGGACAGCGTGGGCAGCACTATGCCGCACTGTCGCCCTCGTCGACCACATGTTGGCCTCCTCGCCGAGGCCATCTTGGACGCTCCGACGACCCGCGAGACCCCCCGTACCGAGGGGGAGGGGGGAGGGGGAGGGGTCGAGGCCCCCCCTTCGCCCGCAAGCCGTCTCGCTCACTCCCACCCGCCCTCCCAACACATAAGTAACACCCGAGGGAGTCTCAGCATATTGCTTAGGAGCGCCACGCATGCCATGTGCGCCACGGCTTCCAGGTGCACCAGGCACCCTGAAGGCCCAAGCGAGCCAGGCGCGCCGGGTACGGCACGTGCTCCGCACCCCCGCCGTCCCATGTCAAAAAACCAATGCAAAGTGGTCGCGGGGCGCCCGCGCACGCTCCAGACGTGGACACAAAGTGCATTCTGTATTGTTTTATGGACGGTTTGCGCGCAGCGGGCAATATGGCGGCACCCTTGCCGTCCCTGTCAACAAACCAATGCTAAGTGGTCGCGGGGCGCCCGCGCATGCTCCAGATTTGGAGGCAGAGTGCATTCCGCATATTTACCTAACAGCTTGTTCTGATAGGTTTCTAGTGGTGTCAAAAGAGAGCAGCAGATGACTCCACAGGGGGGTCTGGGCGGGTGCCGGACAGGGTGCCGCAGAAGTCGTTTTAAGCAAACAGTCACACATGTCGTGCTACAGAACTCCATTCCCGGGCCACATTCTGGATGCCCGGAGCCAACTGTAGGCCACTTTGTGCTCTTCGACTTCCCAGAACTCCATTCCCGGGCCACATTCTGGATGCCCGGAGCCAACTGTAGGCCACTTCGTGCTCTTCGACTTCCCAGAACTCCATTCCCGGGCCACATTTTGAATGCCCGGAGCCAACTGTAGGCCACTTCGTGCTCTTCGAGTTCCCAGAACTCCATTCCCGGGCCACATTTTGAATGCCCGGAGCCAACTGTAGGCCACTTCGTGCTCTTCGATTTCCCAGAACTCCATTCCCGGGCCACATTTTGGATGCCTGGAGCCAACTGTAGGCCACTTCGTGCTCTTCGAGTTCCCAGAACTCCATTCCTGGGCATGATTTTGAATGCCCGGAGCCAACTGTAGGCCACTTCGTGTTCTTCGAGTTCCCAGAACTCCATTCCCGGGCCACATTTTGAATGCTGAGGCAGGCTGATGCTGAGGCTGAGGCAGGCTGAGGCTGAGGCAGGCTGAGGCTGAGGCCGAGGCTGAAGGCAGACTGAGGCTGAGGCTGAAGCAGGCTGAGGCTGAGGCTGAGGCAGGCTGAGGCTGAGGCTGAAGCAGGCTGATGCTGAGGCAGGCTGAGGCTGAGGCTGAGGCTGATGCAGGCTGAGGCTGAGGCAGGCTGAGGCTGAGGCCGAGGCTGAAGGCAGACTGAGGCTGAGGCTGAAGCAGGCTGAGGCTGAGGCTGAGGCAGGCTGAGGCTGAGGCAGGCTGAGGCTGAGGCAGGCTGAGGCTGAGGCTGTGACTGCGACTGCGGCTGCCGCTGCGACTGTCATCGCGAATGCGACTACGACTGCGAGAACAGCAGAATTCTACAACTGGATTTTCATCTGAATCGTAAGGGGAATGCTTTCAGATATGCTTCTACACATCGCTGTTAGGTTGCTTTGCCGGGATATTTTTTTTAACAGGGATGCTGGGGGGAGGCATGTCTTGGGTTGGCCCACAGTCGGACGGGGGAGGGTGTGTGTATATATATGTATATAGATATGAGTAAGGAACAGTGATGAACCCATTCCCGAAGTGGCTTGGAAAGGAAACTCGCCAAACCGCCCGCGCCCTAAAACGGCTGGTAAAATGCCCCGGCTGGCCCGCGCCTTCGCCAGCTGCCCTGCCTGCCCCAAAGGGAAAACTCGCGCGCGGGAGGGCGGAGCGGTGCTCGGCCCAGCCCGCCGCCGCCGCCGCCGCCGCCGCCGCCGACGACGACGACGACGACGACGACGAACACGACGACGACGACGAACACGACGAACACGACGAAGCGCCTGGCCGAGCGGTCCTTGGCCGCGAGGCGGCGACGACGACGACGACGACGACGACGACGACGAACACGACGACGACGAACCCGACGACGACGAACACGACGAACACGACGACAAGGGCTGGTGGCACTCGGCCGCGCGCGGCAGGGCGGAGCGGTGCTCTCGCCGAGCCCTCGCGGCAGGGCCTGCCTGCGAGCGCCGCCCCCGCCCCCGGGGCGCGGCCCACGCGCTGCCCTCGCAGGTGCCGCCGGGCGCGCGCGCGAGGGGGCGCGCAGTAGATTTGATTCGGGCGTGTCCCTCTGCATGCGTACCTTTTCCTGTGTAAGCTCTTCGGCACCGCCTGCACCCCGCACCTTCCGGCCGCCTGAGGCCCGCCCGCCCTCGCCCTGTTTCCCCAATTGGTGCTTCGCGCGCCCCGCCTAGTTCTTAACTGGAAAAGGCCCGCTCTCGACCCGCCGACCAAAAAAGTCTCTCTACAGGAGGAAGACGCAAGAGCAATAACAAGAATACTCTGGGGGCGATGTCTCTGGCTCTCAGAGCTAGGTCTGATTCGTTTGGCTATTTTTCTTCTGGTGTTCATAATTTATTCCAAAATCCGCCTGCAGGAGGACATGCACGACCTGACAGTAGTCTCAACTTTGGCTACAATGGCACTGCTTCGCACGTGGCATGGGAGCCAAACCAGGCAACCCACGTTCTTCCCTGTTGTTCAGCTGCGTCACAGAGCCCATGATAAGAGAACTGGCAGCGACATGGGACAATCGCAGACTGGGAGTACGACTGACACCCTGGCGACCACCGCCAGCTCAACAACTTCAGTGTTACTGACGATTTACTCCTCGTAGCAACTTCCTCATCAGATATAGGGAAAACCTTGCAGACGTCAGCGCAGAAGCAAGGGGCATCGGATTCGCCCTACACCCATACAAGACCAAGGTTCTGCGCAACGGTCATCGGAACTCTCGTCGACGCCAGCTGCCGCAACAAGTGCAACCTGCTGGAATGGTAATCGAAGTTCTCCGGCCTTACAGGTATTGCAAGTATTTTGGTCGCAAGGCGCAGTTGTCGGATTCCGCTGATACTGGACTGGACAACCGGGTTACCACCGCTTGGAAGAAGTTCTTTTCATTCAAACACGAGTTATTGGGTAACAAACTTGCTCTGGACAACAGATTGCGATTGTGTCATGGGTGCGTGACACCGGCAGTACGTTATGGGTGTGAGGCGTGGACGCCGACACGAAATTTGGAAAACCGCGTACACTGAACAAAACGACAAATATTGCGGACGATATTCGGGGTAACGTGACGCCAGCAACAACGTTTTGATGGCGCCCTTGAACATCAGACGTTTGGCACCGACACTTCCAATAACAACACCCAGAACGACGCCAGCAACGAGTCCAGCGAGCACGGCACGGACACCACTTGCGGTAGTATCCATATGTCCGAGGACGCAGATGGCGCCTTCGAGCCTCGGGTCGAGTATAGAACGCGCTACTACCGAAGCGCACATGCGGACGCAACGCCCGAATAGCGAAGATTGTACAAGTACACAACAGAGACGCAAATTTCAGTGGGCACAAGAGGTCGTGGATGGACAAACCGACAATTGGCAAATGAAGTTACTATCGTGGAGACCCGGCAAAGACCCAGAGGGATCACCTCATAGATGACCTGGGCGCCAAAAAACCCGATAGATTGCCGATGTATGTTGGGTGGCCACGGGAAGCTGTGGACATTCGGACGTTCCACGTGTCGGTGCCACATCAGTGCGGTGTACGCCTCCCAGGGCACGTGCCTTACGAAGTGATGTTGCCGCCTCCTCCGCCTCCTCCTCATCCTCCTCATCCTCCTCCTCCTCCTCCTCCTCCCCCTCCTCCTCTCCCCCCCTCCTCCTCCTCCTCCTGACGCTACCCATGCATAGTTGTCACACGGGAGCGTTTTCGTTTGCCCATTTCTTCCATGCTGGCTCTTCGGCGCCCCCTCCGCCGCGCCTTCGTGGCGCCACGCGCGCATAGCCGACTGCGAGTCCGAGTGGGAGTGCGCCGGACCCGCTGAGTCGCTCGTACCGGCCCGCTCGACGCCCCTTCCTACTCCTGTCGGCGGCGAGCCCAGGGGGCACAGCCAACCCGCATAGTATGGATGGGCAATTTTCCCAAGGGTGCCCTTGCATCCTTGCCTCCTCGGTCCATCGTTCGCCACTTTCGTTGGTCGCGCCCCGCTCGAAGAGCTTCGACATGGGCATCCGAAGCCCTTGCATCCTTATCGTGCATCCTAACGATACGGGTTGAGTCAGAGGGGGCAGACCTCAAAAGGCTCGGAGGGCCTCTAGCGTTGTGAGAAATCGGAGAGGAGGATGGGGAGGAGGAAGTAGAGGGGGAGGAGGCGGATGGGGAGGAGGAGGAGAAGGAGGAGGAGGAGGAGGGAGGAGGACAGGGGGAGGAAGGAGGAGGGAGGAGGGAGGAGGAGGAGGAGGGGAGGAGGAGGAGGGAGGAGGAGGAGGAGGAGGAGGAGGAGGAGAGAGGAGGAGGAGGAGGAGGAGGAGGAGGAGGAGGAGGAGGAGGAGAGGAAGGAGGAGGAGGAGGAGGAGGAAGGAGGAGGAGGGAGGAGGAGGAGGAGGAGGAGGAGGAGGAGGAGGAGGAGGGGGGGGCGGGAGGAGGAGGGAGGGGCGAGGAGGAGGAGGAGGAGGAGGAGGAGGAGGAGGAGGAGGAGGAGGAGGAGGAGGAGGAGGAGGAGGGAGGAGGAGGAGGAGGAGGAGGAGGAGGACGAGGACGAGGGTTGGCTGTAGTCTCCCTTAGCTCCCACGTCCGCCCTCGGCCGTCGCCCCGACGCCCTGGCGCGGCTTGAGGCGCACGCCCAGCCCGCCGTGCGCGCCGCGAGGCGCGCGCAGGCGACTGCGGGGGCGACAGGCCCACGTTGGAGGGCCGCGACTCCGGCCCCCGACGCTCCTCCTCGCCTCCTCCTCCTCCTCGCTCCCTCCTCCCTCCTCCTCCTCTCCTCCTCCTCCTCCTCCTCCTCCTCCTCCTCTCCTCCCCTCCTCCTCCTCCTCCTCGCCCTCCTCCTCCTCCTCCTCCTCCTCCCCTCCTCCTCCTCCTCCTCCTCCTCCTCCTCCTCCTCGCTCTCGCTCCCTGCTCCTCCTCCTCCTCCTCCTCCTCCTCCTCCTCCTCCTCCTCCACTTTCTCCCCTCCCCCTGGCGGCGACGGCGCCCTCCCCCCCTGCCGAGGCAGCGGGCGCCGCGGGGTCCTTCTTCGACACCTGCCCCCTGAGGCCCGCGCGCCCGCGCCCGCGCCGGCGACAGCCAGGACCCGCTCCCCCGCCCGCGTTCATGCCCTTCCCCCTCGCGACGGCGGGCACGAGATCTTTCCAAGATCGGAGAGGACAAAACAACTGCATACATTAGATATGAGTGGCAAGGAACGGAGGAGGAGGAGGAGGCGGAGGAGGAGGATGACGAGGACCTGTGTAAACCCAAGAGTCAAGGCATCTCTGATGCTGGAATTAACCCTCCCTTCAAGCTCCCTGATTAGATGCCCCTACAACGGTTCGTTTCCATTGAGGGAATTGCCTCGTTGGAAGAACCGTTTGAAGACCTTGAAGCATGCGAAAACATTGTTCTCGGGACTTCTACGCCACGGATCAACTTGACTGCTGCGTCCTGACGATCTGGCATCGTGCCAGAACGCCATTCTTGGGACTTCAACACCGCCAATCAACATAACTGTTGCGATCGCATAATCCTGAATCCTTGCAAAACACAATTTCTGGTACGATGATGATGGGAATCCGTGAAGCTTTCGCAAAATCTTAAAACAAATATGCGAGGCGCAAGGAGAGATCCACGTTCTGAAAAGGAACCGCCCTCAATCCGTGAAGCTCTTGCAATTGTGTAAAACGAATGTGCGCGGCGCTAAGGCGAGAGTCACATTTTGAAAACCACTCGCCCTCAATCCGTGAAGCTTTTGCAAATGTTTGACAACGAATGTGCGCGGCGCTAAGGCGCGAGCCAAATTTTGAAAACGACCCGCCCTCAATCCGTGAAACTTTTGCAATGTTTTCAAACGAGTGTGCGCGGCGCTAAGGCGCGAGCCACATTTTGAAAACCACCCGCCCTCCATCTGTGAAATTGCTGCCATTGTTGAAGCTTCAGAATCAGAAATGGTATTGAAATCTCATTCGAAAACTCCTGGCCCGCCCTAAAAACTGGCCTCGGGGTGCGACAGGGAGAAGTTATTCATAAGGAAAAGGAATGGAGGAGGAGGACGAGGAGGAGGAGGAGGAGGAGGAGGGGATGGAGGGAGGGAGGGAGGCAGAGGAGGAGGAGGAGGAGGAGGAGGAGGAGGAGGGGGAGGAGGAGGAGGGGAAGGAGGAGGAGGACAACTTACAGGACGTACAGCCTTCGCGTAGCGAATATTATACTAACGAGCAACGCCCCTGACCTTGAACATTACTTGGACGACAAGGAGCACGGAGCGCCCGAACTCGAGGAACACCATCACGATAGTTGCGTGTCACTTTTGTGGAAACCGTAGCGCCCGAGCGACTGCAATACTCACACCCACTGCCACGAACGGCGAAACGTGACATTTCCTTGCGCAGCCAGCTGGATATTGAAACGTTGTAACAAGACAGGCCTTCACCTCACTGGCTAAAATACTAACCTCATGTCCCTCGGAGTCCTTCCGCACGGGAAGATGACCACCGGAACGTAAAACGCATTATGTGAGACAAGCGCAGACGATAGTATGAAAGATTGAAACCCACGCACAAAACCGAGGCATGTTCGAAATTGCGGCGCCACACCCACATCGTGAAAACACCTCCCACGCCACCAGCGAGCGCAAATCTCACAAACTTACGAGTACGACGTGGCACGATGCAAAGTACTGAAAACCTTGCAAACCATTTGACCATGTACCTAAGGAATGACTGCTCGCCTCCTGATACGCCCAGTGCCACAATCAAATGAATACCAAGTGCGAAACACCACCAAAAACAAACTGCAATACCCTCCTCAAGCTGAGATGGGAGATGCTGGCACTGTAGCTGATGATGCCTGGCCCCAGCTAGACGCGGAACTGACAAAAGAAATACACTCCTCTTGCGGCGGTGGGAGATATCTGCACTGAAGCTGAAAAGACCAGGCCAGGCTCCAGCGTTGAGGCTGATGGCCAACTGCACCCCCCACTGGACGATTAGAACATGCATCCCGCCTGGCCGCCACAGTGCATCCTGCCATTGCTTTCTTTACGAAACTAACATAGCAAGCGAATTGTGAAAATGTGGCAGCGCAAACTGAAATACAACAAGTGCGATCCAAAAGAACAGCAGTTGAAAGTACACCAGAGTAACGCTTGCTGAATATTATACTTGAACTCGCCCATTCTTGCCATCCCACGCCAACAACCCCCGACAAATCCGAGAAACACGATGGAAGGTTATGTGATGGGAGGCCCTCAAGCGCCACGCGGAGGCAATGGGCTGGGCACCTCATGGCTAACTCGAGCCCACATGGGTACGATGCCTTGGGCCACCCGTGCTTGAGGCGGGGGGAGGGAGGAGGGGGGAGTAATTAAGAGGGAGAGGAGGGAGAGGCGGTAGGGGAGGGAGAGGGGAGAGGAGGAGGAGGGAGAGAAGGGGGAGGAGGCTGCACAACGAGACGCGTCGGTAGGGCGGGCTGAGCGTTCCGCATGAGGCTTCCTCACCACGTTTGGCGGTCCGCGCGGATTTCTTTGATCTACGTTGGACCCCCCTCCTTGGCGTGCGAAGCGCGACAGGTGCGGCGCCGGAGGCGCCTCCAGGGAGGTCCAGCGCAGATCCAAGAATTCCGAGGGGACCCTCACAAGAGCAACCCCCTCAGCTCTGGAGGGTCACCCTTTTGTGCTCTTCGCGGTCGGGCTTTCTCGACGTTGGGAGTGTTATTCGTTTCGGGCATCTCCGCTGGGCATTGTGCCTTCAGCGAAGGGGCGTGTGTTCTTGACCCACGTTCTTGTGGCCACGTTGCCTGGTTTGGCTTGCTTTTGGCGCGCTTCCGCTTAAGACGACTGTGGTCAATCGACTTCCCCTGAATGTGTGCAGAATCGCACCAGGGTCGGGGGCAACAATAGGGGGGGGATAGGCTCAGGACTCAGGGGGACTTGCATCAACCCCCAATCGGCCATGCATCGCCCACAGGGGCCCGCTGATCCGCCCCGCCCAGAGGGGCCCAGAGACGTGCGGCTTCGCTATCTGGGGCCCATCGCCGACTGCATCGGTGATGTATCAACGAGGACAGGTCGATGTTTCCCCCTCGGCGGAAGCCGGCGGAACGCCACGCGCGAGCAAACCGGCGGTGGGTCCGCAGGTGGAAGCCGGCGGAAGTAAGCGAGAGACCGACAATTTTGGATCCAGGGGTTCGGGGATCGGCCAGGACGTCATTGGAGGTCCCTGGAGGCCCGGAAAGGAAAGAAAACGTCCAGTAACCGTCCGAAGACGTCCGAAATCCCTCCTCGATCCCTCCTCGATCCTCGAGGAGGGCCGGGGGTAAAACTCAGCAGATCTCCAGGGGGCGTCGCGAGAAGGTCTTGGCGGGCGTGCTGTACGATGTCAGCCTCTGGGGGCAGGGGGTCCGACGCTGGGGCCCAGGGCTGTCAGCAGAAGCACCCTCGGCGAGAGACCAACCCCGGGGATGGGCCCACAGCATTACCCGGACCCCCTCGCATTGCGACAAAATCGCGGCCTCGCTCCTCCTCCTCCTCCTCCTCCTCCTCCTCCTTCTCCTCCTCCTCCTCCTCCTCCTCCTCCTCCTCCTCCTCCTCCTCCTCCTCATCATCATCATCATCATCATCATCATCATCATCATCATCATCATCCGTAGCCATTTTGGCTCAAGGCTCAAACCTATCCCTGGGGTTTGGTCCTTGGTCGCTGCCGACGGGGAGGCTCGAGCTTCCCGAGGTCTGGACCTCGCACCGAACAGACGTGCGCCACAGCACGCGCCTTTGGCCCGACAGATTTTCGGTAACGCATTTTGCTACGCCTTCCCTGTAGCAATGGCCGAAGCCATGTTCGCTGAGCTGAAGCAGATGATGGTCACCATGACCGCAGCACAGGAGGAAGCAAACAAACGAGCCGTGGCCACTGACAAAGCACTGCAGGACTTGAACAACTGGGTGCCGCAGGTCACAAGTTCTCTGCAGCACATCGACGAGAAGGTCGACGCAAAATACAAAGAATGCATGGAAGAGGTTTCGAAGTTGCGGAAGCTCATAGACGGCGATGGCAGTGTTCGCAGTGTGGGCACCGCTTCGGCAGCCTCCACGGCAGCTTCGACTGGCAGCGCTACGCGCGACAAGAGCGACCCTCTGCGCTTGCACATCGGCGGCTTTCCATACAAGATGCTCAGGACGGCACTGGCAGCGCACGCAGAGCTAATGAAGGACTCCCTCGGAGCTGACGCACGGAACGTCACCGTCATCGCGCACAATTTGTCCATGAGTTACTCGCTCGCGTTCAAGGACCAGACGGTATGCTCCAACTTTTATACTCTGTGGTCTGGGCAGGAAATCAAATGGCTGGATCGCTCAACTAATATGTCTCATGTACTTCGCATACGGCGAGATCAACCAGCGCACATCCGTGAGAAGAAGAGGCAGCTCTCTCCACTGTGGGAACCCACTTTGGCGTGTCTGGTGGCTAGCGGGCGTTTCGCTGGCGGCAGACTGGGCGTCAACCCGCACCTCGGCGTGCTGTTCGCCAAAATGGGTGAAGGCGCCGAGGCCCGTGCGTACGAGCTGTTCGAGGTGAAGAACACGACGTCTGGCAAGGAGGCGGTTCCCCATCGCGGAAACCTGGAGCGGTTTGGCATCTCCCCCGAGCAGACGAACGGCCTGATGCAGAACAGACATTGACATCTTCACGAACCTCAACAGAGGACTAATGAGTCTGCGGTGGAACCGCAGGCAGGCGAGCGTGAATCGTCTTCTCTCTCTGGCGTTTGCCCGTTCTCCTCTCCTCCTCCTCCTCCTCCGCCATGTCCTTCTGTGGGGCGCACCTCGTCCCAGCCGTTTTCGCCTTCTGATAAATTCAGTATATCGAGCTGGAATTCCGCAGGTCTTTTTGGGAGCGCCGTCGGAAAACACTGGAAGCAGCTATCTAGGTATCGCCATTTTAAGACCCTCTTGGGTCGTCATGATTTTGTTTTGATTCAGGGGTCTCACGGGACTGAGGCTGACTTACCATATCTCAGGGGTGAACAGCCCGCTTTTAGTTTCCGGGGTTCGTTCTGTGATGGCCACACGGCTGGGGGCGTTGTGGTTGCGGTCAGGAAAGCTCTCGCACGAAGA